CAGAGCACACCTGGGCAGGTACTCAGAAGCTAATTAGCGCTGATACGCGGCTGGCGATATCGTCTCTAAAGCGGACATTTCTGCTCTATCGCTGCTCTGTCGCGTCTCTACGCCGGCTCTGCAGCCGGCGACGGCCTGTTCTATTCCCTGCCCTAAATTTTAACTGGGTAGTTCCCATTAAGAATGTCCACCGAGAGCTACATTGATCGGATTATATGAGAGTGCTGTTTTAAGAAAAATTATGGTTTTAACTGCGAATGATTCAAAGCGTTAAGAGGAGTGTAAAAACCTGGGTTGAAGCTGTTAAAATAAGCCTAGTTAGTATTAGAAAAGCGTTTAGACTTTACAGGAAGCAACAAGAACGATAAAACTGTACTAAAGGCTTGAATTAGCAAACCTGGAGCGCAGCGATCATAAATTTAAAACTTCGCATGGAGGCTCCAACTCCTTCACTTTGCTCCGTAATTTGTTAGAAGTCAATTCAATTTATAAATTGGCGATTCCTCATAAGACTGCACCTCTTGTGCAAGACTTTAGAGTTCGGCACCTATAGTCACAGCATCGTATCGCTTAGCTAAATTGCTGTCAGCCGCGGGTCTACTACGTACATCAGGCTAGGAAAAACAGATCCCAATTCGGGTGTGAAGTTATTCAATTCAGGCGACCTAAAACGTAATCATAATGATGGAAAATGCCTTATTTCGGTGAAGATGTGGTCGACGGTACCATCGCAACAGCCCGCAGGAATAATTTGAACCTCTTTGCTTACCGAGCTTGCCGATCACATCGTGCGCACGTAGTTCATCTACATGTACATCGAAAGCAGCTCGTATTGTAATTACTAAATGATTGTCAGGAATCTGCAATGGCGGAACTTCATTCACGAGAAGTTGTAGCAGCGACAACGAGGCCATTCTTTGATAGGGTACGAAACTGTTCACTAGATTTCCGACGTGTCGCAGTCATAGACATTTCCACCAGCTGGCTAATTCAGTATTGAGAAGCAGCGATCTCGCTGGCATCTACAATGCTCCACATAAAGTGAGGTTCCAGGTAGCATAACAGCCATTTGATAAATATACTTGAAAATACTTCAGAGCTCAACCCGATGCTGAATGGATTACTCGTATAATCTAGAATAATGCTTACTCCGACTTTTCCCATTTCAAGGATAAAGAATAGAACGAAAATAATTTAAGTGATGTTTATTTCGTATTAAGACTTCCTTGCCATTGAGCGTCTCGATGACGTACTTTGACCATCATCACTATCGAGTTTCCTCCCCGTGCCGGCTGCAGCGGTGTGTTAACTTCGAGTTGCCATACGGCACGGGACATTGCAGTGCTGTGAGTCAAGAAATTCATAGCATTACATCTACAGGATAATTCAAGTAAATACAATATGCATGCATACACCGACATAAATTACATTCTTAAATTGCTTAGATTAGAATGCATATTGTATATTGGGATTTTTAAATTGCTAAGATTACCTTTCGAAACAAATATTGAACGAATCTCTGACAAACTTTGGACAAATCTCGCAGGATATCGGGTTCTAAATGACGGGATTTATAAAACCTCAAAAATATTTTTTTCCAGACAACGCCAGATTAACTTACCAGGACAATACAAGATTAATATAGCTCAATGGATGAAAGAAAGCTGAGCGACTTCCAACAACCTATTGAAAAGCCTACCGTTTTTGCTGCAGCTCCTTGATCAACGCTTCTCTCTCTCGTAGCTGCAGCTGGAGTCGCTCGACCTCCTCACGGAGCGAGGCCAGGGCAGCTTCATGCTCCTCACGGAGCGAAGCCAGGGCAGCTTCATGCTCCTCACGGAGCGAGGCCAGGGCCGCTTCGTGCTCCTCGCGGAGCGAGGCCAGGGCCGCTTTATGATCCTCGCGGAGCGAGGCCAGGGCCGCTTCATGAGCCTGCGAAGACGCTTCAGTCACCACCACCACCAACCACCACCACCACCTCACCTCCTGCTCCTCCTCCTGCCGTCTCGCTGCCTCTGCCTTGGCCGCAGCCTCAGCCGCCTCCTCCTCCTGCCGTCTCGCTGCCTCTGCCTTGGCCGCAGCCTCAGCCGCCTCCTGCTCCTCCTTCTGCCGTCTCGCTGCCTCTGCCTTGGCCGCAGCCTGACCCGCCTAAAAATATAACACAAAATTCAAGCAACGGATCTATTGAGAGGAATTTCAATCATCGAAATCCAAGTATTTCAACGAAACTAAGTATAAGGGTGATTACACATAGCGGCAATAACCGTAAGAGTTAGGTGACAGATGTTGTGATTAACTAAAACTGGCCTTAGAGGTTGGGCTAGTGCCCGTAAATGGCCTGTGGCATTCTTCGCAGAGGATTTGAGGGAGCTGGAAAAGAAAGAAAAGGAGTCGAAATTAGGATCAAGTAATTAAAATAATTTAAAAATTTATAAAGCACTGTTTTTATATAGCACTGTTTTTAAAAAGCACTTAACAGAAACCTCTTGCACTTTCCGCAAGGTATTCCTGGTATCTGAAAAGAAAGAACAGGCCTAAAATTTTGGATCACATTAGGGTAACATGGGGCAGCATTAAGAATTCACATGGAGAGCTAAGGGGCGCCAACCTACAAAAGTTTGGGAACCACTGCCATAATCAATGCACATAGACACACCACCGACATTCTCGGTGTCACCAGAATTTTCTAAAGACTAATGGTTAAACAATATAATATTCTTTGTACGTTAGGCATACTGCCGTCCTAATTTCTCTAGACATTATCAATGGCAACAGTGCAAAAATACAACGTCTCGAGTCGTGCTTCTTTCAGCTTTTCAGATAGTTGGTGTAGCCATTGATCCGTCATTAACTAATTTACGAAAATATGCGTTGGTACCGCTCCTCATGTTAGAAAATACTACTGACTAATGTTCTTGCAAGGAATAGCTATGCAAGCTTAATAGTTTTTGATGTACGTAGAAAGCTAACGATAGTATCTGAAGCCAATTCTACGGTTGTAACTACGAGTTATGATCTGTGGGCGAAGCCGCGGAGACACTACAAACGTTGGCAAGCAAGAAGCCGTTAGTTTTGGTATCACACTATGGCTTTGCATCACATTGCAGTTCCTCTTAAGATGACCGCCAGTTATAGTATTAATTGCACTATGATGATTTGATCGTCAGGTGTGATACAAATGACTATTGATAGACAATGAAAATTGAATTTTCAAGTGCCTCAAAGCGCATGCAGAGGCGCTTTGCAGCCTCTGCATGCGCTTCTTGGCCGATTGACGAGCTAGCGATTGACAGGGGCCATGCCTCGTGCAACACAAGCGCGGCGCTTAGTAGATAGCTATTAAATTGAAGAATTGATATCACGTGTATGCTTAAATCGCAAATTAACTAAGAATTTAAATTAAATTAAAATTTCAAATAGAACTAAAAATCTAAATTAAATAATTAAAGAAATTGAATTCGTTCTATGGTTTCAATGTAGCTATTAATTTGTGACTTCTGATTTGTGATTCTAGATTCTACGAACTGACGATGGAGCTGGTCTCCGAAACGTTTTCTATAAAGATATGAATTTTTGTGGACTATTCTTTGCTTTTAAATACTTAGTTAATATATAGCTGTCTGTGGTCTAGTAAGGTTGATTGTGTACGTTGGTCCGGTACACCAAATGTCGACTAACACCACTCGTTTGGAGTCACTCTCTAGTAGAGCGCCTAATTGATCTTTATGGAGAACACGAATGCCTATGGACTGTTCGGCCAAAGGAGTACAAAATCGAAATGCAAATGATGTAAGTTATTTTTACATGACGTGTTTAGTTTGTGATTTAAGCAACTCCTGACAATTTATGCATTACCGTTTAGCGATTTCAAAGGATGATATAATATCTGTACGAATATTGGAACTTTTTATTTAAGAATAGACTATATTTTATAAACTGTATCTTTTTGAATGTGCTAGTTCTCTAATTATGATGCCTATGCTAAATTCTCGTTTACAACTGGCATAGTGCGAAGAATGACGGACCACAGCACACCCGCGAACAATGGCCCACAGCTCAAATTCGGTTACATCCATCCTCATTGACGTCTAAGTGGCAACTGGTGTTCAAAGCGCGCGGTCTCAAACTACCAGGTACAAAAGTAGTGTGAACGGTTGTGCGCGGTGAGGCACTGCAGCAAACGACTCAAAGCGCATGTCGTTGCCACTAGTGTAAACGGGCCTTTAGAGTTTAACGAGGGATGGTGACCGAAGCGGAGTCTGCGCTGAGGTGCACCCTGTCTGCACGGCTCAACTGCTGTTCTGTATGGCTGATGTCTGGTGGTATGTCATTAATGATGCTGTTTATTGGTAGATTTAAGAGTGCGTTCCGGGTTAGATGTGTGTGTATGTGTTTAATGAAGGTGGCTGGGTCTGTGGGCGGAGGTATGGAATTAATTATTGTGCGATAGTAGTTGTACGGAGTGTTGGCAATATGTCTGGGTGTGGGGGGTAAGTACTGAAAGTAATGGCAGGGACAGAGGGGATTGTGGAGTGCTGATGCAAGGAATTGGGAGCCTCTCATGTCTAGGTGTTCTTTCATAGAGAGGACTTTGGTTTCTGCATGGACGTGACTGGATGGTGTGGTTTGGGCGCTGCCAATTGCGATTCTGAGGGCTGTGTTTTGTATGGTTTGTAGGTGTTTGTGAAGTGTGGGTGAAATTTTGGGTGCCCAGGCTGGACTTGCATAGTCTAGCGTATGTATTGTTTGTACACTAGTGTGAGGGTTTCTTTGATTTGTCCGATTGTTGTTCCTGTGAGGGCTCTGAGTGTGTTTAGCCTAGCCTAGGTCTGCATTTTGTTTTGGTGTCCTGTATGTGTGGCCCGAAAGACATAGAAGTGTTGTAAGTGACACCTAGGATCTTGGTTTCATGTGTGTGTGGTATGATGGTGTTGTTTAGAGTGACTGTGGGTCTGTGTTGATGCTCCTTTGTGTGGCTTGATAGTAGTGTGCTTGTTGATTTGGTGGGGGCTACTTTGAGTCTGTTGCGTGCTAGCCAGCCCTCTAGTTGTGTGATATAAGGTTGTACTTGGGTAGAGCATGTGTTAGCATTGGTGTGTGTTGATGTAATTGTGATGTCGTCTGCGTAAGACAAAATGTGAATGTTGTCTGGTGGGGTTGGAATGTCGTGCATGTAAAGGTTGAAAAGTGTTGGTGAAAGGACTGATCCTGGGGTACTCCGTTCGGTGTGTTTTTTGTGTGTGATGATATGCCATTGTAGAGAACGAATGACTGTCTGCCTGTTAAAAAGTTGGCAAGCCAACGTTTGGTGTTGTTATGTAGTGCTGTTTTATAGATTTTGTCTGTGAGTGGGAAGCGTGGAATGGCATCAAATGCTTTGTTAATGTCGATTGTGATCAGAAGTGTGCGATGTGCAGGTCGCTTGGAGTTAATGCTATCTTGTATACGTTGTGTGAGTTAGTGAGGAGTGTGGTGGTGGAGTGATGGGTTCTGTAACCGTGTTTTGTGGGTGAGAGGGGAATGTGAGGCGTGATAATAATAATAGCGGTTTCAGCGTTTAGTAGGCCGTAGGCCTGTCGCCGATTCCCAACTTCGCAGAACATTCACAGCATTTTGCGGTCTCGAACTCACAAGTAGCTGCTACAATTCTGCTGTGCTTAACCGCCCGGCCTCCTTGCCGATTCTGACCAGAAACTGTCATAAAGAGCTGGGATCGAACCCGCGTCTCTCTGCTCCAATCTTGGTACTCTGAACTTTAACCACTGGGCCACCCTACCCATTATGGAGAGTATGAGGCGCTCTGCAACTTTGGATGGTGTGCAGAGGAGTGTAATGGGCCTGTAGGAGGCTGCCTCGGTGGGGGGTTTGTTCGGTTTCAGGAGAGTTATGATTTTGCCTGTTTTCCAGATTGAGGGTATGATGCAGTTGGCAAAAGAAAAGTTGGCCATATTTGTGAGAGTGATGATACCATGCGGGCCGAGGTGTTTCAGATGAATGTTCGAGATGTTGTCTGGCCCCATGGCTGAAGAATTTTTGAGCTGTTTTATAACGCGTGAGGTGTCTGATGCTGTGGCTAGGATGTAGTTATTCGCTAGTGGAAATTTGTGTTTGTGCCTGTAAATCTGTCTGTCTGCCCTGTGCTTGGGTAGGTGACTGATTCTGGCATAATAATTTATCAATAATTTGGACAGTTGTTTGCGGGAGGGGATGGTATCTGAGGAGGTAATTGCCGAATGAGATGGGGTGAGTCCACTGTTGGAGTTAGTGAGGCTGCGGATTGTTCTATATAGTTTGGAGGAATTGGTCCTGTGGTCTAGTGTCGCCACGAACTCCTCCCAGCGTTGCTTCTGTCTGTTCCTTATAGAGGTTTTGATTTGTTCATTCAGTTCGTGGATGTGGTCTGTAGTTGCCTGTGAGTGTGGTGTTGGTGTGCATCGTAAGTTGTTGCGTGTTCTGATGAGACGAGAGATGTCAGGTGTGAAATTGGGGTTGTACTTCTTCCTGTTTCCCTTGAAGACATGTTTCTTATCAGCTTCGGCGATGATGGTGTTGAAGTGGGTGAGGGTGTGGTCGATGTTGGTGATGGGTTGTGTGTTCAGCTCCTGGAAGCGGACCTCCGTTTCCCTGGCGAATTCTTCCCAGGAGCTTCTATTGTAGTTGCGAATGGTTTGTGATGTGTGAAAATTGGTGCCTTTGGTGGAAGGCAGTGTGATGATAATGGGTAAGTGGTCAGATGAGAGGTCTGTTTCTGCTCTCCAGGAAATCCTGTGCGATAGTGATGGGGAGCAGAAGGTGATATCTGGGGAGGTGGATCTATATAGGGCCTGATGTGGTATGTGCGTGGGAGTTAGTGTATTGTTTAGGATGAAGAGCAGGTGTAGTTGGTTACAGATCTCTACCCCTCGAGCAGTGGTGTCCTGTGGGTTTAACCAGTCTGGATGCTATGCGTTGAAGTCGCCTCCAAGGATCAGGTCTGGTAGTGTGTTTAATGCATGGAGTGTGGGAGTGTAGCGGGCCGGTAGACCCGGTGAGTGTTCAGGAGGAATGTATATGTTGATGAGGGTAATGTGTTTTTTGTGACCTGTCTGGATGTGAAATGCCTGTAGTTCCATGTGCCTATCTACTTGTGCTAGAGTTCTGATATGCTGAGTTTTATCCAGGTAGGCAACACTGTGGTGAATGTACGTAATCAATCCCCCACCCTCCCCGTGTTGCCTATCCTGTCTGATGGCGGTGTAGTTTGGGATGGATGGTGTCTTGTGCGAGTGCCTAAGCTTTGTCTCTTGTATAATGGCGACATGAATTTTGTTGGAGTGCATGTATTGTTTGAGTTAAACATGCTTGGTGCGTAGGCCGTCAATGTTGAGTTGTAGGATGTTAAGGTTTTGATGGCGGGTCGGTGGTTTGTTGGCTTGTGGTCGATCGGGAGGGACTGAGCGAGGCGGGGAGGGAGGCCCAGGCAGGGGGCGAGGTGGCCGCGGAGGAGCCGGAGGGCGCACCGGCACGTGGGGAGCCGGTGTATGCTGTTGGACTTGCGGTGCAGATGCGATGGTCACAGTGTATAGTGTACCTACATGCATTGGTTCTCCTGGAAAATTAAATAAACCTTGTCGTACTTGAGAATTCGCTGATCTATTTTAATTGATCCTCGTTCGTTAGGGCCCGCTGGCAGAGACCCAGCGACTTAGCTTTATGGAGCGAAGTTCTCCCGCTACATTGCCGCTAGGCACAACGCGACATCCCCACCAAAATAGCGGAGCTTATCATACTAAACGCGCATTAATACCATAGATTCGAATTTTTACTCTTGCGCAGAAGATCTTAATATTTATAGGAAATGTAATCGTTGTTAGTTCTAAATCGTATTTTCCTGCCACTGCGCGATCTCGTACAATTTAACTCAACAGTTCCTTTGACCTGGCGGTTATCGCTATTGGACTCATCATAATTATCATTGGAATTTACGATGGGAGTAAATTGTATTTTAGCCGCGTCGGGGTTTCCCAGAGGCGAATTATTTCCGGTTGTAATTCAGTCAGATATATGGGCAGAAGGGTAGGGTAGCCAAGTAGATCGTGTCTCATGATCGTTCTACACGGTGTGGTCGGGTCGTCTGTTCCGGCGGTTCAAGGTAAACTTAGCACAGATCAGTTTAAAAGTTGATTACAGTTAGGCAGTTACACGTCCAACACAAAAACCATCTCGTGGCAAGAGCAGCGTAACATGCTTCAGAGCTCCGTCGGCCGTCGCGTTAAATTCTCTCTAAAAACAAGCTCTCGAATTAACCCGCCGCCGACCGAAGACAGCTCGCCAGTTAGCGGGAACTCCGCTAACTAAACGTAAAGACAAAACCGAATTTTATTGAACAAAGATATTTAGAAATAAAAATAAATTTCCAAACTCGTTATTTGATATAAAGTTAGCGTGAGACAGGCTATTACACAATACAGAAATATTTAATTCTACCCTACAACAACGGATGCAGTCAACCTTGCCGTGTAACTCGCAAAATCTGTCTTTCGTTTGCTGACACTCAGCCTCTCCGAGTTCTTGGAAAACCTGGGCCATCTCTTCGATATAATTGGCTATTCGTCGAAATGGTATAATGGGTCAAAACGTGATCAGCTTCCTGCTTCGGTATGTGTTCGTTAAACTAGCGTGTCGATCAGCATGTTCAATGCTGCCTGGAGTCCAATTCTACTCGTTGTACCCCAGAACTTGGTCCCTTTATATGGCCTTGTATATAACGTCCGAAATTTACAATTGCCCCTGAAATGACCAGGTGACTGAAAACGAAAATTCCACATTAACGACAGGTAAATAATTGCGTTAACAACCGCAAGTCGCGTCCTAAATCGCAGACATTGACTGAACTGCCGAAAGTTGCCTTGCCAGTAAAACTACAATGGGTGTTTGAGTGTGAAACCCGTGGAATATTATATTTTCTATAATGAAGAAGAAATTTATATTTTAATATATCTTGTCTGCGCTTTTACTAGAAAGTAAGAAAACTTCTTGAGCCTTGTGCCCGATCAACGTACTGTAAATTTGGCCAAAACTTGCGTCGTAATGCAATGTATTTGCTCAATTCATTAACCATTCAGGGGTGCCGCTGTAGCCATCTGGAATATCCCAATTGCTAATACCATAATTTCTCGTATCGCTATTGTGGCACAGCCTTACACCACGCCCCAAGCAATAACGTCAGGAATGGAGCTACGTTCTTCTTTCGGTTATACGCGAGCTTGAACTGGCCGACGTAATGGGACCAACATTTTGGTCCGCTTTATTGACCTTAATAGGCAGGAATTTCCTTATCCCGCGTGTCCCAGGCTGTGTGCGGCATTAGAATAAATTTGATATGTTGCAAGTCCCTTGTTTTGATAAATGACTCCAGATGAATAATTGTTATTATAGTCAACTTCCTCAACTGGTTACTAGTCACATAGCATGTACATTTAATCACAATGTGCTATATCACGTTTGAAGATATGATGACAAAGATCCTCCTGGCGAAGATCTGAGATATTAAAACTGGTGAAGAAAGTCGTTACCCTAAAGAGGAGTCGTTCAATTTCAAACTTACGCAAACATTATTTCATACTTGGAAATCCAATGACTATATCCAGTGTTCTCTGCTATCGTTTCGCCTATGTGAATTAATGGTTTTCATATATTTCGTGCTCTAACTGTGCAATACTGACGGTGAACGTAACGAGCTTTTAGTGGAAATTTTATCATAATAAACTATTTTAATTCTGCCCGATTAAGATTATAGTATAGTATCTTCGGCATTGAAGAATAGGCCTGGATAGGCCTGTCGCCGATTCTTGTACTTTTCATGGCTAGACTGGCCTTTTGATCAAGTCTTTTCAACGGACGGTAGATTTAAAATCGCTTCTAGATTTCAGTTGTTCCGTATAGGGTACGAGGCATTTTAAGACTAAACATATGCTCTTGCATGGCCTTGTCTAGTCTGTTCTTGAACGCGTTCATACTAAACATATGCTCATGCATGGCCTTGTCTGGTCTGTTCTTGAACGCGTTCATACTCGGAGCGTCAACAATATCTTCAGGGAGGCTGTTCCACATAACATAACTTAACATAACATAGTGATGTCGGCGCTGAAGTGTAGGCCTGATGTGGCCTGTCGCCGATTCTTTTCCTTTTCGTGCCTTGTTCACAGATCTAAACTCGTGTCATTTGACCGGATCTTTTCATGATTGGCGATAGTTTGAAGTAGCTACTAGACTTCCACCGGGTTCGATAAGGAGCTAGGCATTTCAAATCTGAACATATATTTTTCCATAGCTTTATCTAGTCTGTTCTTGAAAGCGTTCATACTTGGAGCGCCAACGATGTCATCGGTGAGGCTGTTCCACATGTCGGTGATTCAAAGCGTCGGTACATGTCGGTAACTCCAAGCGAGAAGAAATGTTGTCGCGTGGATAAGTTGCACCGCAGTTTTTTTTAGTTTATATACTGTGGCCCCTGGTGTTGGTTCTTGTTTCAAATTCTAGTAATCCTTCTGGGACCTTGTACAAACCATGAGCATGCTTGTATACCTCAATGAGGTTACCACGCAGTCGACGATAACGGAGACTGGGAAGCTTCATAATCTTCAATCTTTCTTCATAAGACTTGCCCTTTAAGCCTGGAACTATCCTTGTTGCACGTCTTTGAACACTCTCAACTAAATTTCTGTCTTTTTCAAGTCTCGGTGACCACACAACGTTTCCAAACTCTAGGTTCGGGCGCACGACATAGGTGAACAACAGCTTCATCATTTCTATATCTAGGTACTCGTAGGAGCGTCTGATCAGCCCAAGCAGTTTATTGGATTTATTAACTTGTGTTTCAATATGCCTATAAAATTTTAGCTCCTTGTCGACACAAACTCCAAGATCTTTTACCACGCAAGTCTTCTCAATCATAACCCTCTCGTTGCAGCCGTGTCTTCTCATGCTGTAAGCTTGCTGTTCATTGTTCTTGCCGATGTGAAGTACTTTACACTTATCAGCATTGAAACGCAGCTGCCACGCATCAGCCCAGTCAACTAAGCTATCAAGATAATTTTGCAGTTGCATTTTATTTGACGCATCCTTAACTGTATTATAAAATTTGTGTCATCGGCATACATGGATCACACGCTTGACACTACTTCTCGTAGATCGTTTATAAAAGCGACGAACAAAACAGGTCCAAGAACGTTTCCTTGCGGTACGCCACTGCGCACAATTACCCAGTCTGTTACGGTTCCGTTAATGCTGACACGTTGTCTTCTGCCTACTAGGAAATTCCTGATTCATTGGAGTACATTTCCCTCTATTCCCAAAGAATTCACTTTACGTAACAGTCGCTCATGCGGAACACTATCAAATGCCTTGGCAAAATCGAGGTACAGTGCATCCACTGGCTCCCTTTCGTCCAGCAGGCGAGTCCAATTATTCAAGGTAGATAGGAGATTAGTAGTGCATGATCTGCCAGCAATAAAGCCATGCTGACAGTCTGATAGATAGTAGTACTGGCGGCCACTACTGACCTCATACACAAACACTTAGAAATTAAAGGCCATGACGAAACTCAAACTTTATTGCCACACCATATTAATTAAAATTAAATATTTCATTAATTAATCTAAAAATAAAAAAATTAATTAATCTTAATCATGAAAATATCTAAGACCATATAACACAACAACTTGAACGGGCTTCCAATGCAAACATAAATGAGCAGAACCTCGAATCCAGCGAAGTTTCATTTGAAAAGTTCTCGACTCGAATATTGAATCTAATTGAAAAATTATCGAATTAAGATTAAAAAAACGGATCAAATTTTTTACCGGTTTCAGCGTCAGTTTCAGCTGAAGTGAATACACCGATGCAATTTTTCCTAATGAAATCACATATGCTTTTGTTTGATTTCACTCAGCGCTTCCAAAATGTTTAGTATTATCCCTCATGGCAGATATAATGTAGCAATTATCAACTATTTTCACCCAACGCAAGATAGGAATGTTTGCAAACAATTGAAAAACTGGCAGACTGCCACCGCTTTATTTTGACATTTCAAAGCAGGTTGAACACTCACGACAAACGGTTGTGCACTCGTAGATTTGATAGATAAAGACTGTTTGTTTTCAATGAAACTTAATAAAAATTTGAAGTAATATAGTTTCAGTTCAACTGCTTGCATTTCATAATAGAATTAAAATTAACATTGTACGCTTGGTTTCTAGAAACTCGTTTAAAATCCAATGATTACACAAACAACTTATCAACGATGTATTCATAATATAATTAAGAAGAACAAATTAGCGGAAAATTAAATTCCTTGCGACACTTCCACACTTCCACGTAACATAAAATATATAAATTATTGGCTCATTCACAAATGCTTTCCTTATTATACATTTTGTATTAACAATGAAAAGCACGCATTTATCCCGTGTACAGAAATTAAAAAATCTCATAAAATAATTTTTCTTAGACTTTGAGAGGCATACATACGAGTAGATTTTGGTTATTTCATGGGAAAATACATTAAACATTTTAGCTTCAACTCCATGCTTAACTTATT